GCATATATGCAAAAACGCATAATGAACTCTAAGAACCCTGCCACAGAAAATCTGAATTTAATAGGAAGGAAATAATCAAATTTCCTCTTATTATTTCGCCGGCGTTTCGATGATTTAAACGAGGGCATTAGGCGTTGTGCGCCTGTGCATTTTTTGCTTTCTCTCGTGTGCAGTCGTTTGCGGTGCACGCGCAGCCGCTTTCCTCACCAACGTTACAATCCTGAGCGTTGTGTTTCATCTCATCTTATCGGCTGGTTTGTTCGCATTCAGAGGATGGTATTCTCTGCTGACCTCCGGTGCCGTGCTTCGAGCGATTGTTGCTCAGGCGGTCGAAATGAGCGGCCCTTTCTTAAACAGTGCCGTTAAGAGTCGCGAACGACTGGGCGCTCCTAAATGCTTTTCACAGTGCTCTTCTTTAGCTGGATGGATTCGTTCGCTTTCCCCCAAGCACTATGGCACTGCTCACTCGAACTCCCTGAGCTTGCATCAAATTTTGCTTCTGCTCATAGTAACTCTGACCCCTTTATGTCCACCCTCCTCCTCCCCTTCCATCCTCCCCCCTTCCGTCCACCCCTCAATCTTACGCTTGCTCTCGACGTGAGCTCGAGCTTTTTGGACTTCGACGAATCTGGCATTTGTTCGACGTAAAAACGAAACTAGGTAAACCACAAATGTCCGTGCCACTAGTACAGCCGTCTGAGACTTCTCCCCTACCCCTATACAGCTCCAGCACCCTAATCACACAGGTGCTTTCTTCTTCAGCGTCCCCCATGTGCGCATCGTTTGTTGGGCAGCACACAGTGGTCACTCGGGCCAGAGACAAATTTAGATGTGAGCCATCGTCAAATAAAAACGGTGCTCTCGTTGGATTACATGGATTTTCGGATGGAAGAAACAGTGCCATCTCAAGGGGTACATAAAAAAAGAAGTGGATGGGGCGGAAAAGTGCGAAAGGAAGAGCAGCAGCGGGATTCGCGGCTATCCTCGGACGTCCCACCTCCCATCCATAACTGATTACAGACGATGCGATCCGCAAATTCATTTCGCGGCGGTACTTCTATTCACCCACCGCAAACATCCGGTATGCTTGGCTTCGTCGGTCACAGTCTTCAGGTTTGCGTGAATTGCAACGCAGTGCGCACTACGGGTGCTCGCTGTGAGAGGTGCTACAGGGAGCCAGGAAAGAGTGTGCCGGAAATTGGCAGTGCGCTCGCCCTCTCCTCCGGCGCTGTGCCTCCCGTGCACTGCTCCAGCACAAGCCACTGCTACGCTATTTTACGTGGGACGGCGCTCAAAGCATACGGCGTGCCCGAGGTATGGTCCGTCCTGCTCCGATAACGCGTTGCGGCCTCTTCCAGGACGTTACCGAGTATGGCCAGACTGAAACAATATTTGTTTCATTGCAGGATGTGCGAGCGAAAGGACCATCGTCGAGTGTTGCTGAAGGATGGGAATGAGGAGAGCTCCGCGTGCAGACGTTATCCGTTCGGCGAGATGGATGATGATCGGGACAATCTGGGTATACCGAATATGTGTAGCTCACCGCAATGCCTTAAACCAGGCTCGTTACGTTGTCCGACGTGCGTCAAGCACAAACTGCCAGATGCTTACTTCTGCTCTCAGGTAATTGTCATATCAGGTGCATGCTTTAAACTGACTGCGATAAATTTCAATAGAGAGAAGGGGAAAGCTTGAGCTGGTGGAAGGAGGAATGGGCAGGCGGGGTCGGAGGGGAGGGGGAGGGGACAAAAAAGGAGAGCGCCGCCCATGTCGGCAGAAGGAACCTCAGTTGGCAAGAGGAGGGCTAGAGAGGAAAGGGCGATCGCCTCTTATGTATTCGAAAGAGGATGTGGTAGCTGCGTCTTGTCTGGTTTTTATGCGTTTTGTGCTGTGTAACAGCAGTACAAAACGCATATTGTTACGAGGTTGTCTGTGTGTGTGTGTCTGTGTCTGTGTCCGCAGCAACTTGTCCGCAACTTTCAACTCGGAAATAACAAAAGCTAGGAAGCTGAGAATTTAGAGTAACGTTCCCTACCAACGTGTGACCCCGCAAATTCAAATTCAGCTTCCCCGTATCCGCGGGTAACGCGTACGGCCCTGTGAAAGTTTTTTACGGGTAAGTTAATATCTCGGAAACCACGGAGTCTAGGAGGCTGAAGTTTTAGGGCAATGACCCTCTGTCCACGCTCAACCTTGCCCATTCAAATTCAGCCTTTCCTTGCTCGCGGGTAACACGTACGGCCCCGTGAAAGTTATTCACGGGTAAGTTAATATCTCGGGAATCACGGAGTCTAGGAAGCTGAAGTTTTAGGGTAATAACCCCCTGCCCACGCTCAACATTGCCCATTCAAATTCAGCATTCTCGCGCTCTCGGTTGCCACCTATGGCCTCGTAAAAATTTTGGTGGATAAACTATTAACTCGGGAATCACGGAAAGATACTCATCCTTCAAGGTTTCGAATTCAGGTTTCATGCGCTGGTGCGTGAAATTTTTAACTGTTTTTCAATGTTTGAACTATTTTTGCATAGACTA